AGGGAGTAGACTTGTGCAGAGGAGGGGAGGGGAAGGGTGAAGTCACCCAAATGAGGCCGGATGAAGAAGAGGAGCGCTGGGTGAATGGAAGGAAGTATGTGGTCATTGTCCTGGGTCCTCAGGCCAGGACCCCGAAGCAGCTCAAATCCCCAGAGGGGGGAGCAAAACTGATGGGAGAACATGATCGAGTCACTGGCACCAATGAAAGAGAGTGGCACAGGTCTAATCACTCCTGGGATAAGAAGCGGGTTTGTTGTCAGGAGCCTGACGAGGCTGATCTGCAAAAAGAGAGGGACAGCAGCAGCAAGGGGGAGAGAAGTGTTTTGATTGGGCCAGAAAATGGAGGGGGTTTCTGAGATGGATGTGAACGGGCTCATGGTGTGAGGAATGGAAGGACTTGAGACATCCCAGACAGTAGTGTCCACCTCGGAAGTGGGTAACGGGAAGGCCCTGGCAGACGGACTAGGGGATGGTCCTAAGATAAGGGTGAGGAGCAGGGGAGAAGCAGGCAAGTCTGGATGGAAGTGTACATAAGGGGAGAAGGAAAGCGTAGCCCCCAACTTTGTGAGGATGTCCCTCCCCATAAGGGGAACAGGACACTGTGGAGTGAACAAAAAGGAGTAGGTGAAAACTAGAGATCCAAAAGCACAAACAAGACTAGGTGTCTGTAAGGGTTGGTAAGGTGTGCCCTCTACCCTGGCAAGAGAGGTCACAGAATGAGTCGTAGGCCCCCAGAACTCCTTGAGGACTGAATAGGTAGCCCCGGTGTCTAGGAGGAAGGAGACAGGCCTACCTGAAATACGTAGTTACCCTGGGTTCCCGCAGAGTGATGGCCGGGTGATGGGGACCTGGGCCTCGTCAGTCCTCTGCAGCCAGTCCTAAGAGTTGGAAAGGGGAACCAGAAGGGCTGGGTGGCTAAGGGATACTATGGGCTTGGGAACAGTCAAATGCCCAGGGCCTTCCTGATGGCACTTAGGACTAGGGCCCAGAGACTTATGAGGCTTGGGACATGTATGAGCCCAGTGACCCATCTGACCACATTTAAAATAGAGTCTGGGTGGTCCCGAGGGGACCCTTCTGCAGGCTGGTAGAACCAGGGACAGATGCTGAGGCTGGCCGGACAGCTTGAGTGAGCATCTGATATTTCTGCTTCTGGGCCTTCCCATCTCTCCTGTTATACACCTTAAAGGCCACACCCAGAATCTCAGCTTGGGGAATTAGGTGCCCCCTCTTGAGGCACCTTAGTTTGGCCTTAATATTGGGGAAACTCTGGGAGAAAAAGTAGGTCATTAGTAGTTGTCTCCCATCTGGAGTCTCAGGGTCCTGATTAGTATATTGTCATAACGCCTCGGTCAGGTGATCTAAAAATGCTGAAGGGTGTTTATTCTTATCTTGGAAGGTTTCCTGGAGCTTTTCATAATTGATAGCCTTTGGGCTGCCTTTCTAAGTCCTGCCATGAGGCAAGTAATGAATTGGTTTCTACTAGTTACTCCTCCAGGCAAATTATAATTCCAGTTGGGGTCTTGATCAGGGACTTCTTCAGTGCCAATCAGATGGGCAGGGGAGGTCTGATGTACCTCATCAGCATGATTTCTAGCTTATACCCAAACTCGCCTGAGCTCCTCGGTCAGGAGGGTGTTAGACAAGATCATATGGACATCGTGGAAAGTCAAATAATATGATTGAGTCAGATATTGAAACTCTTTGATATATGTGGTAGGACTTGAAGTATCAGACCCAAGCCACTTTTCTATCTGTGAACAATCTGACAAAGAGAAAGGCACATGAACCCGGATTACACCGTCTACCCCAGCCACCTTACGTAGAGGACAGAGATGCAAGTTGGGCAGCGGCAGCCTGTGAGCATGTGGCAGGAGGAGAGAAGGGTGGGGGCCGAGGGGACAGTTGCTTTGGGGGCTTCATCAGAAAGAGAATTGTGGTTTGGCAGGGGATCATCTGCTGGGTCAAAGGAGGAGGAGTCCTGGGTAGGATTTTTCTGTCCCTTTGGAAGCAGGCATATTGGAGGTGAAAGGTAAGAGGACTTGTGCGGGAGAAAAGAGTTGCAGAGAGAGGACTTAGAACACAGAGGAAAAGGCCTGAACGTATAGTATCTCTTTCCATCTTCCTGAATGCTCACAATAGTTGAAAAGATTCCTGATAATATTGGGATCAAGAGTGCTATCAAATAACCATTTAAAGTCGTTATACAAAGGATTTGGGGCCAGATCTGATGCATAAGCAGATAAGTTTTGGGGGGTTTAGGTCTGGGGTGAGAAAGAGCCCAAAACCCAGGACCCAAATAAAAGACCACCTATAGACTCGGTTGACAGCAGGGATTGGCTGTAGCTGTGAAAGCTGTGGCTGGGGCTGCCCTTGACCACATGATAACCCTAGGAGTGCCGGGCATTTCAACAGTCATTTCCTGGGACCCATAGGTGGTTTAGGTTGATCAGACACAGGGATTTTACCTGGAGTGTCCAGTGGTGGGTGCAGAGAGGGCTTTCAGTGGAATGGAAGGCCTGGTCCCACGATGGAGTTTGGATCGGGGCCTGGGGACACTCAGTGACCCTTGAAGAGGGAAGTGGGCACACCAGGGAACCTGATCCTGGGTTTTAGGCACCAAAATGAGGGAAAGCGAGGAACGAGAGATGGGTCAGCGAGAACTAAAAGGCAGAGATACACACAAGAGTTTAATTTGTCAGAGCTGATGAATAAAGGCCATCTCTCTATAGGAGAGAGAGGCAAAACAGGCTTGGGTTCTGGGACTTTTATGGGGGGGCTCAGGAATGAGAGCCAAGTGGGTCCTAATGAGGGCGGTTAGGGGTTGGGTTGGTGTGAGGGAGCGGTGAGCCTTTCTCAGAAACACCCTTGGGCAGGAAAGAGAAACTTTTTCCTTAAAATGGCCATCCAGATGCTAAGCAAGGACCTTATAGTGGGGGTCTTTTGACACTGACTCAAACTCTGTCACTTCCCGTCCGATATGAGATGACTCAAATAAAAGAAGGGGGGGATTTTTTTATGTGGAGTCATTTGCCAACAGGAGGTTATGGGAAGAGAGTTCTTACACAAATTAATGCAGAAGTCCTTCTCCTAAACAGAGCCACGGTACATTGCAGAATTGGACCTTCCTCGTGCTCTGGATAGAAGCTGAGGATAGGGGTGCCAAGGAAGCTTAGGGAAGAGGTGGCCCGTCCCCAGGCCGGTGTCCTGAAGGCCAACTTCACCTGCCCACGTACCTGTCCTGCTTTTTTCTTCAGTGTGTGTGAGGGGGTGGAGCTTCTCTTTTAAAAAATTGCTCACCCTTAACTTCTAGCTTCCTTCAAAACTGGCTCAAAATAAAACCTATTTTCCTACCAATTTGACTCTGATGTTTCTGGGGCAGTGAGCATCATAACCTAGCTTCCCTCTTGGCTGATACTGAGGCCATCCAGGATCAGGAGAGCAAGTTTCCCAAGGCGCTTTCCACAGGATGGGTATTCAAACCGCCCCATATTGCAAAAATGTACCTATTGTAGCTCCCCCTCGGGAATGCTGGGAACACCAGGAGGCAGACACTGGGAGGGCAGCATCCTTCAGGACAGAGACATGTTCTGCAACCTCCTGCAGAGCCCGAGGTCAGACACCACCACTCCTGCTGCTGTGCTGCGGGAATTTTTGCTCCATCTGTTCAATTTTTCCAATCGGTACCATGGTTTTTCCCTGGAACTCACACTATCTTGTTGAAATTTCCTTAACCAGTTACTTCACCATCAAGACATTTGCATTTAATGTCTTGCAGGCATCATCTGTGCGAGCATCGTGAACACAGGCCGTAAAATGCCCTCAACATCAGCATCTGCTCCGTCATGTGACTGCAAAGTGAAGAACCCATTAACTTCCAGCTCCTGGCTTATTGTCCAAACATGTGTCTCGAATGCATGCATTATTTAATGGTTCAGGCTGCAAGGACAACTTTTCTAGCTTGGTTGCTTCTTTTTGCTCCCATTCAGCCATATCTATAGATCAGTTCCTCATTTTTCCTCGCTTGCACCCATCAATGTGGGCTTTTTCTGCCAGGGTGATATTTTGAAAAATTGTATACACACACACACACACACATATGTATATATATAAAATAAAATTTACCATATTAGCTATTTTTAATTGTAAATGCCATTTTCAATGGCATTAAGAATGTTGTGCAACCATCACCATCACCTATCCCCAGAATTTTGTCATCTTTGTTAACTGAAACTCCATATCCATTCCCTTTCCTCACTTCCTCCAAACCCTGGAAATCACTATTCTACTTTCTATGAATTGGACTACTACATATTAGTGAAATTATATGGTAATTTTTATTATATGTACCTTTATGACTCGCTTGTATCACTTGGTATAATTCTATGAGTCAGTTTTCATTACTATAACAAAATACCTGAGGCAGGCTAGTTTGTCAAAGAAAAAAGACTTACTTAGTTCACAGTTCTAGAGAATCAAAGTCTCCAAGAGATTGGGCAATGCCATTGGTTTAGTTTTTCGTGAAGATCTAAAAGAGCAGATAGTGTTACAACAGTAGGAGCATGTGTAGGAGAAAGAAATCTCATCTCCAAACAGGAAGCAATTCAAGGGTGGGACTTGTTCTTAAAAGGTGAGACTTTACCTTTTAAAGGTTCCATCACCTCTCAGTACTGCCATACTAGGGATAAGCTCCCCATACACAAACCCTTGGGGGACACAACCAAATCATATCTAAACTACAGGTGCTCTCAAACTTCACTGATGTGGTAGCATGTGTCAAAATTTCCCGCCTTTCTACTGAGTCCCTTTTCAAGACTGAATAGTATTCCACCACATGAACATACCACATTTTGTTTATTCATTTATTTATCAGTGGACACTTGGGTTGCTTTCATCTTTTGTTTATTGTGAATAATGTTGCTTTGGGAACATGAGTGTACAAATATGTCTTTGAGATTTCACTTCTGATTCTTTTGAGTATATTTTCAAATCCACTACACAAAATATATGGACATTTTACAAATTTCCATGTCATACTTGAGCAAGGACCATGTTAGTCTCTTCTGTGTCTTCAGTTTTAGTATTTGTGCCACTGAAGTGAGCACTCAGGGTGATTTTAAACCAACATTGGTGGAGGCTTCAGACACTTGTTTTCAGCTTTTTAAAGTTGTAATTGACAAACAAAATTTGATATGTTTGAAGTGTACACTTTGATGTTTTGAAATATGTATGCATTGTGATCATCACAACAAAGCTAATTAGCATATCTATCGCCTCACCTACTTATCATTTACTTTATTTCTTTTTTTAACCAATGAGAATATTTGCTACCCTCTTGGCATATTTCAGGTATACGTTATTTTTAAATTGAGTTAACCATGTTTTACATTAGATCTCCAGACCTTTTTCATGTTGCATAAATGAAACTTTGTTGACAAATATTCCCCCATATATCCATTCCTCCAGCCCCTGACAATGACAATTCTGTTTTATGTTTCTATGAGATTGGTTATTTTAGATTCCACACATAAGAGATCATGCAATATTTGCCTTTCTGTGCCTGGCTTATTTCCCTTAGCATAAGTCTTCCAAATTCATTCATCCATGCTTTGAATGGCAGGGTATCCTTCATTTTTTAAGATGAAATGTTATTTGTGTGTGTGTGTGTGTGTATCACATTCCTTTTATTCATCCATTCATTGATGGATAGTTAGGCTATCTTCATGTCTTGTCTCTTGTGAACAATGTTGCAACAAACATTAGAGTGCAGATACCACTTTGTGATTCTGATTTATCTACCCAAATTCTCACCAATGCTTATCTTTGGCCTTTTTGATAATAGCTGTTCTAACAGGTGTGAGGTGATATCCCATGTGATTTTGACTTTGATTTCCATGATTATGAGTGATATAGAGCATAACTTTTCATAGCATAACTTTTCATAGACCATTTTTATATTCTTTTCTAGAGAAATGTCTATTTAGGTCTTTTGCCTTTTTTTAAAGTCAAGTCACTTGTTTTCTTGATATCAAGTTATGTGAGTTCTGATTTGGGAAAATCATATGACTCTAGAAATTTGTTGATGCCTTTGATATTCTCTATTTTATTGGAATACAAGTTTTCAAAATAATTTCTAATTATTTTCTGTATTTTTGTAGCGTCTGTTGTGCTATTTCCTTTGTCATCATGTATGTTAGTGATTTGAGTTTTCTTTCTCCTCTCCGTTAGCATGGCTAAGGGTCTATCAATTTTATTTTAGTTTTTTAAGAACCAGTTTTTTGTTTTGTCAATTTTTTTCTTTTGTTTCAATTTCATTGATTTCAGCTCTGATTTTAATTATTTCCTGTCTTCTACTGCTTTTGGTGTTGATTTGTTCTTTTTTTTCTAGGGCTTTGATATGTAATGTTGGGTCATTTATTTATTGACTTTTTCTGCTTGATGATATACACAATTTAAACAAATAAATTTCAAGCAATGAAATAGAAGATACTATCAGAAGCCTACCAACCAAGAGAAGCCCAGGACTATATGGATACAGAGCTGAGTTCTACAAGACCTATAAGGAAAAACTAATACCTTTACTCTTCAAATTATTTTGTGAAATAGAAAAAGAGGGAACACTTCCAAATTCATTCCATGAGGCCAATATCACCCTGATTCCAAAACCAGGTAAAGACACATCAAAGAAAATTTCAGACCAATATCTCTAATGAACATAGATGCAAAAATTCTCAATAAAATTCTGGCAAATCGAATACAAAAACATATAAAAATATAGTGCACCACGATCAAGTGGGGTTCATCCCAGGGATGCAAGGTTGGTTCAACATACCGAAATCAATAAATGTAATTCATCACATCAATAGACTTAATGATAAGAACCATGTGATCATCTCAATATACACAGAAAAATCATTCAACAAAATACAGCATCCATTCATGTTCAAAACCCTAGAAAAACTAGAGATAACAGGAACATATCTCAACATCAATAAAAGGCTATCTATGCTAAGCCCCAGGCCAACATCATTCTAAATGGAGAAAAGTTGAAAGCATTCCCTCTAAAAAATGGAACAAGACAGGGATGCCCTCTTTTAACACTTCTATTTAACATAGTTCTTGAAACACTGGCCAGAGCAATTAGACAAAAGAAATTAAAGGGATACACACAGGAAAAGAAGAACTCAAACTGGCACTATTTGCAGATGATATGATTCTATACTTAGAAGACCCAAAAAAAAACCCACCTGAAAACTTCTGTAACTAGTAAATGAATTCAACAAAGTAGCAGGATACAAAAATCAACACCCATAAATCAAAGGCATTTCTGTATATCAGTGACAAATCCTCAGAAAGGGAAATGAGGAAAACTACCCTATTTATAATAGCCTCAGACAACAACAACAACAACTTGAGAATCAACCTAATAAAAGAGGTGAAAGACCTCTACAATGAAAACTACAGAACACTAAGGAAAGAAATTATAGAAGACCTTAGAAGATGGAAAGATCTCCATTGTTCTTGGATAGGCAAATTAATATTGTCAAAATGACCATACTACCAAAAGCACTATGCAGATTTAATGCAATTCCAACCAAAATCCCAATGACATTCCTCATAGAAATAGAAAAAGCAGTCATGAAATTCATATGGAAAAATAAGAGACCCAGAATAGCTAAAGCAATCCTTAGCAGGAAGAAGCAGCAGATGGCATCACTGTATAGACCTTAAACTATAGTACAGATCAATAGTAACAAAAACTGCATGGCATTGGCACCAAAATAGACTGGTAGACCAATGGTACAGAATAGAGGACATAGAGACTAATCCACATAATTACAGTAATATTAGACAAAGGCGCCAAAAACATACTTTGGAGAAAAGATAACCTTGTCAACAAACGGTGCTGGGAAAACTAGAAATCCATATGCAACAAAATGAAATTAAACCCCTATCTCTCACCATGCACAAAACTCATTTCCCTTTCAGAGGATTTGTCACTGATATACAGAAATACCTTTGATTTATGGGTGTTGATTTTTGTATCCTGCTACTTTCTTGAATTCATTTACTAGTTATAGAAGTTTTCAGGTGGAGTTTTTTGGGTCTTCTAGGTATAGAATCAAGAACCTAGGAATTAAACCAGAGGCACTGTGACTATTAGAAGAAAAGTAGGCCCAAATCTCCATCATGTGGGATTAGTCCCCAACTTCCTTAATAAGACTCCCATAGAGCAAGAATTAAAATAAAGAGTCAATAAATGGGATGGATTCAAACTAAAAAGCTTCTTCTCAGCAAAGGAAACAATCAGTGAGGTGAAAAGAGAGCCTACATTTTGGGAGCAAATTTTTACCACATGCACATCAGATAGAGCACTAATCTCTAGGGTATATAAAGAACTCAAAAAGCTAAACACCAAAAAGGCAAACAGCCCAATCAATAAATGGGCCAAGGAACTGAATAGACACCTCTCAGAAGATGATATACAATTAATCAACAAATATATAAAAAAATGTTCAACATCTCTAGCAATTAGATAAATGCAAATCAAAACTACTCTAAGATTTCATCTCACTCCAATCAGAAAGGCAGCTATTAAGAATACAAACAGCAATAAGTGTTGGTGAGGATGTGGGGGAAAAGGCACACTCATACATTGTTGGTGGGGCTACAAATTGGTGCAGCCAATATGGAAAGCAGTATGGAGATTCCTTGGAAAGCTGGGAATGGAACCACCATTTAACCCAGCTATCCTACTCCTTGGTCTATACCCAAAGGACTTAAAAACAGCATACTACAGTGACACAGCCACATCAATGCTTTTAAGCAACAAAATTCACAATAACTAACTGTGGAAACCAACCTAGATACCCCTCAGCAGAGGAATGGGTAAAGACAATGTGGTATATATACAAAATGAAATATTACTCAGCAATAAAAGAGAATAAAATCATGGCATTTACAGGTAAATGGATAGAGTTGAAGAATGTAATGTTACATGAAATTAGCCAATCCCCCCAAAAACAAATTCTGAATGTTTTCTCTGATATAAGGAGGCTGATTCATAATAGGGTTGGAAGGGAAAGCATGGAAGGATTAGATGAATTCTAGATAGGGCAAAGGGATGGGAGGGGAAGGAAGGAGGCGTAGGGGTAAAAAAAGATGGTGGAATGAGATGGATATCATTACTCTAAGTACACTAAGACACAAATGGTGTGAATATACTTTGTATACAACCAGAGATATGAAAAATTGTGCTCTATATGTGTAATATGAATTGTAATGCATTCTGCTGTCATATATAACAAATTAGAATAAAAAAATATAACGTTATGTGAGTTCCTAACACATTTGGATATTCACCCCTTATCAGATGTATGGTTTTCAAATGTTTTCTCCATTCCATTGGTTGTATCTTGACTCCTTTGAATGTTTCCTTCACTGTGCAGAAGCTTCTTAGTTTGATATAATCCCATTTATCTATTTTTGCTTTTCTTGCTGGGTTTTGGGGTCAACCCCCCAAATCATTGTAAATCCAACATCAAAAAACTTTTCCCTTATATATTTTTTCCTAGTACCTTTATATTTTTAGGTCTTACATTTAGGTCTTTAATCCATTTTAATTGACTTTTAATATGATGTGAGATAATGGTCCAGTTTCATTCTTCTACATATGGATGTCCAATTTTCCAAATACCATTTATTGAAGAGACTGTCCTTCCCCTATTGTGTGTTTTGGCACTTTGTAACACTCAGGTTTGTTTCTAGGCTCTCTCTTCTCATTTGTTAATACGCAGTGTTATGCTTTGGAACTGGGATGTCCCCCAGAGGTTCATGTGCTGAGAGTTTGTTCCTCTATGCATCAATGTTCAGAGGTGAGCTTTTGGGAAGTGATTGGACCGTGAAGATTCTAATAAATGGACTAATATATTGGTGGGTTCATAACTGAATAGATATTGGGAGATGGTAAAAACTGTAGGAGGTGGGGCCTAGTTGGAGGAAGAAGGAAGAAAGAGTATTTCTTTTTTCTTTTTCCTCCTTCTTCTCCTCTTTCTTCTCCCCTCCTCCTCCACCTCCTCCTCCTCTTTCTTGTGTTTATTTACTG